GGCTTCCCTCTGGTCGCTTTCCTCGTTCTCTGCCCCAGCGTTAGGTCACTCTTCTGGCCGGCCCGTTATGTCTCGGGCCGGTCTTCCCCAATCAGACTTCAACTCCTTGTCTCGTTTCGGGTCACTTTCGCTCTCCATAACAGATTACAAAATTATGATGTGGTTTTGATGGTGTAGTTGGGAATTGGGTTGGGATGATGGAAAAAAGTGAAGGGTCAAAACAAGGGAAGAAAAAGGCATTAAAAGAACAAATAGGGTCCACCATAGACTTTAGTTGTGGGACAGAGAATCAAAATAGAGACTTGTCAGAACCAGAGATTTCTCTTTTTCTTCTTTTGCTTTAGTTTCAAAGAAAGGAAGACTTTGTCAGTTGGGTGGCAGGTGGAGCTGATTTTCATTTTTCTTTAATTGAATTTTCTTTTCTATACCACAAGAGTACGGGAAGTTTGAACTTCGATTAGAGTTATGTTCACGTTGATGGTCTAATTGAAAACAATAAATAAGAAATAAAAACGCTAATGAAACGATATTTTGATTCCACGTTGGCATGGGAATTGGAATAGTTTTTCTGCTCTACTTTCACTTCTTTTCACATCATTCATACATCCAAACACCCCCTTTTCTCTCTCCTCTCCCACCTGAAACAAAACCCATTTTTGTAAAGAGAGAGAAACGGTGGATTTTGTGGAGAGAGAAAGTAATGACCAACCAGTCCCCGCGGGCCGAATAAAGAAAAAAAGAGCCATTATTTGAATTGTTCTCATCTGTGGGACCCACTTTTTTGTTTCTTCCACTCCAAAATTAACAATGTAGACTGCGCTGACTGGAGTGCCCCTACCAAAACTTCGCCTTTTCACAACCATAACAACACAATAATTGATTTTAGCTCATCTCTTTTAAGTCTTAATTCATCCTTTTACGCAATTCCTTACAGCTTTAGTTTATCAGAATGACATTAATTATATGGGATTAAAGTTATTAATCCTACACTAATATTTAGTCGTTGAACTAAAAAATCGATTAATAGATATTCGAATATCTTATGTTGAAATATATATATATATATATGTATATATATATATTTAATATGATCCTAGGAAGGATTCAAATCATTTCATACCTTTTAAATTTTTATTTTAACAAGAAAATGTACACATTTGTTGCCATTTTTAACATCCCATCACAAGTGAAGGAGGAAGATTTAAATCCACTATCTCGTGCCTAAAAAATAGATGCAATACATTAGTATTAGATTCAAATATACAAGTTTTTTTTAGTAAGAATGAGAATCGAACTCACAAACTTTTAGTTTGAGATATATGCAAATTCTCGCTTTGACTCAAATTTATGAATGAATTGTAAAAGTTAAATTTATTGTCCACACACTGAATACAAATTCAAGATTGTTTTTCCCAATCATACCCATTGGTGGCAAAAATTCTAAAATTGATCCCATTTGGTATAAAGGTAAAAATAAAATAGGAGTATCAAAAAGTGTAGGTAGCAAATAACAAAAAACAATGTAGAATAAGACCACTCATAGTGAAATAACAACTTTGGCCTTTTATTAAAGCTTTTTTTTTTTTTTGGTTCAAAACGACGTCACTTGGAAGATTTTGCCCTTGTTTTTATTTTCTATAACTTCCCCAATAGGCAACGGCTTGAGCTTTGGTAAGCCCATTTCTGTGTCTTCTCTCTTCTCTCCATTGTTGAAACTGAAAACCAAACCAAACGCAGTTCCACAGTACACCCTCTTCGTTTTCCGAGAAATTTCCTCAGCGCCAAATGTGACACTTACAAAGGAAACTGATTTGAGCTTTGCTTCGATTCCTCTTCTTCTTTATCACATGGGCTTTCTTTCTTTCCTTTAGCTTTTCTCTTCCCCCTTTTCCCCTTCTTTGTTCGCTTCTTCCCCGCCGAACGGTGGGTTTTTGAGTTCTTCTTTTTTCGTTTGCTGCATTTTCGGGTTTTTCTTTTTGGGTTTGCAATGTCGGGGTCGGCCAAATTGCGCCTGGTCCGATGCCCCAAGTGCGAGAATCTTCTCCCGGAGCTCGCTGATTACTCTGTGTATCAGTGTGGTGGCTGCGGCACCGTTCTACGAGGTAATTTGATATTTTCTTTTTTAATTTTTTTGTTTCTCCGACCTGATTCATGATGCATAGATTATTATGTCTCCTATGTTATGTTATTGCAATTATTTTGAATTTGGAAATATTTAACTGCTACAATCGAATTTTGTAATGGAGTATCGATTTTCTCGTCCTGGAGGAGTATGTTCCTCTAATTTGAACTGGAATGCCCTTTTTTCTTCAGCGAAAATTAGAAATCGGGAAGAGGATGATTTATCAGATGAGTCGGGTGAAGACAGGGTAGGAGGGTCGTCTACTAAATCCACGAATACCCCGGAGAAAAGGGCGGTTGATCTTAGTGATGCCTCTGATGGGGATTTGAAGTTGAGTCCTGCCTCTTTGCCCTGTGATCTAAATGGTTCTGAGAAGGACAAAGTGGAGGACGCTGAGAAATGTGAAGTCCACTTCAGTGTCAACACTGATAAATGGGGTGTTCAGAAGGAGGAGTTTAACTTGTACATGGATAAAGATGGTTTGAGTGATTCGATGGGACCGGAACAAGTGGATGTGAAGGTTCAAATCAACTCAACCACGGCTGCATCAGCACGAGAATTGGATTGGCAAAAGGGAGAAACGGGTGGGATGGAGGAGGAGGGGGTTGAGAAAAACCCAAGGGATGATATGGAAAGAGTGAGGTTCTCAACTTCCAACTACAAAGACGATCGGACAAATTATCAGTTGGATTTCATTTCTGGTGTCCAGGAGCTTTTGAGAAACCATAGCAACGCGAGCGGAGCTGATAAAGTTAAGCACCTTGAACAGGACCGACTTGAGCTTTTGAGGAAGTTGGATGAACTGAAGGTTCAGCTTGGTCAGTCTTGCAATTTAGTTCAAAATCCAAACCAAACGGCTCCCCCCAAGCCTCCTAAACCTTATTATCACTCTGGTGCTTGGCCTAGAGATGGTTCTTCGGGATCAAATGCACCGCAGCAGCTACTTGGGCCGGAGAAATGCGTTGCAGGTCCTTCATATTCCAATTATTGTCCAGAACCATTTCCTCTTACCAATGGAATTGAAATGCCTGTGCAGGGCTACTACCCCTCGATGCATAATCCAAACAATGCATCTCATTTTGGGGACCATTTTGGATCACAAATGTTAAGAAGAAACTCATACCAGTATTCATGTGCGCATCAACAACATCCGCACCAATATCATTCGGGCCATTATGTTGATACCGGTTCGGATCCATTCAGTCACTACCCTCGTAATCCTCCCTTTCATCAGCCTTCTTGCTCTTGTTTCCATTGCCAAAATAGATTTTCGCAGGTTCCAGCTCCAGTACCTGGTGCTTACTACAATAGAAGGTTTCCTGATGTTCCAAACAATCCCTCACTATATTCTCGTGAAAATGCTGCTGCTTATGGTTCATGTGTTAACAATATTAGAGTCACTAATCCTCCCTCGAATTTTCGTGATCGACAAGCCCACTCTAGATGGCCAAGTGACTTCAATTCTGAAATTGGTGGTGGTGTTGCCAGTCGTCCTCGGAGGACGGTCTTAATGAGTGGAGGCCATCAGTGCTATCCAATAGCTGGGGGCGCCCCATTTCTAACATGTTATAATTGCTTTGAAATGCTGCAACTTCCTAAGAAGCTACTGATGGTAAAGAATCAGCAGAGTGTTCGTTGTGGGGCTTGTTCTACAGTAATCAATTTTGCTGTTATCAATAAAAAACTTGTTTTCTCCAATCATTCACAGGTAGATCAGTTCCCCTCGGAGGTTGATGATAGTGATGGTCTGGCGGTCAGAGATTATAATTCAAATTTTAATGGCCATGTGAACCATTCGAGTGCTAATTTCTCTTCTGATGATTATGATAACACTGTTTACGATTTCGAGGCACTAGATAGAGAGCCTGTGCTACAGCCCATGGGGTCAGGTTTAAGCTCAGCTAAGCAACAAGAGTTGCAAAATTTTCATCCTTCGTCTTCGAGTACTTCAGAGGATGAAGACAGTCCAGATGTTTTAACCGTTCCGAGGGAGGCTACAAACAACTTGCAACATTTAATCAAAACCACACGCTCTCCTCCCCTTCCTGGTTCACCTCTTCAGTCGTACTTTGATTACTCATCTAATAATCAGGTTGGAAACAGGTTTGGCAAGGGAAATAAAAGCAGCCGTTCAGATCAAGAGAATGTGAAACCAAACAAGGTTACCTCGCGGCAGAATTCTTTGAAAGAAGCATCACTGGCGACTGAGATGGACGTGTCAATGAATGACTACTCTAATACTGTGGCATTTCAAGAGCCACAGGATGTAAGTAAAGAAGATCACCAGCCAAGAGCCAATAGAGGAGGCGAATCTTTTTTTGCAAACATTATCAAGAAGAGCTTCAGATCTAATCAAGCAGATGAGCGGAACAGAAGTAATGTTTCAGTCAATGGACACTTGCTATCATATCGTGTGGTTAAAAAAGCAGAAAAGCTTGCTGGACCAATCCATCCAGGAAAATACTGGTAAGCCTACTTAAAACTTTTCTTAACTTCGAGATATAGTTTTTTCTCCACATTACTTGTATTAGTTTATTTGGTTCAGTGCCAAGCAAATCTAGTTGCTTATTTGAATTGTGCAAGTTCGTTGGCCAAAGTAGAAAGCATACAAGAGAAGTGGATTTTTATGTGCACTTATGAATTGTGTTGACGTCAGTTTGAAATTAATGAAAATCAGGTACGATTCCCGAGCTGGATTCTGGGGAGTCATGGGCGGACCTTGTCTTGGCATAATTCCTGTAAGATCAAAGTTAAAGTTTGATGCATCAATAACCTCTACATTGGTTCTTTTCCTTCTTATTCTCAAATTCTGTTACCTGTTTGCAGCCTTTCATTGAAGAAATTGACTACCCCATGCCAGAGAACTGTGCCGTTGGAAATACCGGTGTTTTTGTGAATGGCAGAGAGCTTCACCAGAAGGACTTGGATTTGCTTGCTGGTAGAGGGCTCCCCACTTCAAGGGACAGATCTTACATTGTAGACATCTCTGGTAGAGTCCTCGACGAGGACAGCGGGGAAGAGCTCGAAGGCCTCGGAAAACTCGCCCCCACGTAAGTGCAAAGGCTAATACTTGTCCTTTTTCTGATGTCTAGTGGGTTTATTCTTGTCCATGTTAAAAAGTTTTTCCTTTTGGTTTCCTGAATCAGAGTTGAGAAGGTAAAGCATGGATTTGGCATGAAAGTTCCAAGAACAGCTTGTTAATCAACAGAAGCAGAACATCATTGGGATATTAGATTAGATTAGATTTGAAGAATACTACCAAGTACCATCAGTGGTGTAATTGTAGTGGTTATATGTTTTATCATCTCTTTAGTGTCTGTGTGGCAATGGCATGTTCTGAATATGTATCTGTAAATGGTTGATTCCTTCTTCAATCTGTATTGTATTCAACTGTTGATAAGTTACCAAGTTTTTCACCATTCTTTCTTCAAGGAAAATGAAATTTTGGCCACTTTTCTTTGTGAATGCAGCAGTTGAATTTGAAAGTAGAACATAAAATGAAAAGATTCTGAAAGAGAATAATGGTTTGATTGATTAATTGAAGGGAAGGTGGAAGATAAGTTATCAGTCAGTCATCTAGAATTGTACGGACTGGTCAGGGGTAGTTTTGTCTTTTTACATTTGTACCATTAGAGAAGATGAGTCCAATCACCGTCACCGTCACCGTCACAGACAGTGACGTTCAAATTTCTTTTAGAAACTGCTAGAAATAGATGGCACAGCATAGCCACCAATAGAAATTCAATTATAATTTTTGTCCTAAATTTTTTCATTTTTCTGAAGTACAGTACTAATAAACTACAAGTCTAAAAGATTCAGTCAAAACTATATTATATAAAGGAATTATTATTATTTTTCTAAAGAAAGTAGTCTATAATCCAAAAAAGTATATTGTATTTGTCGTGTATCTATTGAAATTATTGATGGGACAATATATGAGCAGAAAAAATGATTATTATTTTGGCAGTCCATTTGGGCAGACCCAGCATTCATGATTTACCTTTTCACATGGTTTGATTGAAACTTTTTTTTTTCAATTCATATTTAAAGTTTTTTTTATTTAAGAAATAAAGTAATTGGCCAACTAATTTTGGAATAAATATACGGTTATTTTGTTTATTATTTTGCTTCTGTAATTAAGTTACGCAACTAGTGCTTGGTTTATTTATTAGGTTGACAAATGTATAATATATATATATATATAAATATGATTTTAAAAATATGACTCAATAGTTTATTTATTTAAAGTTTGAAAATGCAATCACGTTCTTGTAATAAATTAGTTAATTGTTTAAAGTTAAGTTTATTAATAGTATTTTATTTAATAAATTAGTCATATCAAATTTGAAATTAATCATTTATTAAAAAACCAGAAATTTTCAATTGAGTACATATCTTTAAATTATGCAAGAGTCACATGAAAATTTTGGAACTCTTTTTCCCTTCATCGTAATATGTAAAATATATTTCAACTGGATGCTTGCCTCGTTAAGTTTGTACCTTTTCAGATTAAAATTTTGAGTTTTTTAATAATTATTTTTAATATTTCTTACTCATTATTTTAATATAAGCCAAGCAAGGATTACAGAAGTTGCCACTAAATTTAAAAATTTAAAGTAATTTTTTAATATATTTATAACGATGATGTTTCCATCAGAAAATTGCAATTAAAAAAATTAAACTCAAACTTAGAAATAATTAGTTCATAAGTAAGCTCCTGCGGTGCAGCAAAAGGGCAGAAGATAAGGAGAACTTATTCACTGTCCCCACACGATATTAATTGCAGTTAATGCTATTAATTTAAATTATTGAATAATTGATTTGTATTCGACAACTATAGTTAATATTATTTAATAAAAAGAAGCTAAAAATTGCGATTAATTAATTTAATACGAAAGGTTATATGATAAAAAAAAATTAGTATCTCACATGCGACCAAATCAAATAAATCAGTGCAAGATTGGGAAATGATTGAAAAGGCTTTCTAACCTTACTAATCACTACATTGTTAATGTTAATCATCATGTCATAATATTTGCGTCACTTTTAATCAAATAATTTATTAATATTTTTCTCTCTTTCTAAAAAAAAAAAAAAATCTAATATGAAAATAATCTTAGTAGACTGCCACCCGAATGATTGTCGTTTCTTTAAGAAATGGACTTGGAGAAATACAATTTGAACTTGTATAGAAAGGGAAGACTACAACGCAAAAATCAGTAATAGTCTGAGGTATACGTAGTCTAGTAACAGAGATGAGCAATAACTACCTTTGTATTTATAGATGTTGGTAAGTGGCTCCCACCTTTCAATCACTTTGCACGTTGCAAGATTTCCAGCACGAGGCCTGTAGTGCTGGTGAGTTGGAAGTTGATTAGCACTTTCACATCATGTTTGCCATTGTGCTAAGAGCCACTTAGACCAAGCTCTGGTGCCTTCAAATTTTAATGACCTTTCTTTTCTTTTCTTGCTACCTGAACAAAACTTAACGATCAAGGCACACATCTTCGACTCAAATAAATTCTATTGAAATGTATATTTGACGAATGAAAAAAAAGGTAAGGTCTAAGAGGCAACATTGGATTTTAGTAATTAGTACTATTATTAGAATCAGATTCCATATCTGATATTTTATTTTATCCGGTTAGGTAAAGCTCCCAAGAATATATAAAAGTTTATTTTACTCGTAAATTTTATCTTTTTTTTTTAATTTCAATAAAATGGAATCTTTTTTTATTTTTTATTTTTGATGACTTACCTTTTGCATTTTAAAATTGTAGTCATTGTCAAGTTTAATAAACGGTTCGTGTCTTTCCCACTAATAAATATTAAATTAAAGTCTAATTAATTAAAAATGCTATTAACACTATCAAAGTAAATTCTAAAGAATTTGAAAGAAATGAGTTCAAACGAGTCTGTCGTTTACTTAGAATTAGTTTTATTTTAATTGTTCAATTTTATTATATTTTCGTCTTAAATTACAAATATTCTTATTGAAAATCAATGGTTAACTATTCATTAAGAATTTTATTTGAAATAAAATTTGGATGCCCTTGTTTTTTTTTTCCAAATAAAAGACATACAAAATATTATAAATTAGCAAAATTCAAATGACCTTTCTGGAAAAGAGTTGGAAATAAAAGTCCAAAAATGCCAGAACTCTCTTTACAATAAATCTCCTTAGTAGAAAAATAAATAAATAAATAAATAAACTACAGCTGATGCTGTGTCCTCAAATGGCAATAACATTTGGCTATCTTACTGTCCTATTTGGCCTTACTATGACGCTGAGTTGTCTGTAGCCCAAATTAATGAATTTTTAAATTTTATTTTAAACAAATAAAAATTATTGATGTTAATAGATATTTACGAAAAAAATATAAAAATTATTAATAATTTATAACCAACATTCCACTCTTTTTAAACCAGTGAAAATTTATTTGATATATTACATTTTAACTTTAGTTCCTGTATTTTTAATATATTTTGTATTTTTAAAAAGTTATCATTTTGGTCTTTTAATTTTATTTCTAATCTTATATTTTCTATCAAAATTTCAACACAATACTACACTTAATATATTTCTTTAAATATAACCATGGTTTTATATTAAAGGGTTGCCGTTATGTGTAGAATTTATGTCGAAATTTTAAAAAGTTGAATGACCAAAACGAACCGAAATAGTAGTCCAAGAAGCATGATTTTGAAAGAATTTCCTCCTTCCTTCTGGAAGAGACGCCATGTTTGACGTGAGTACCATCTCAATAATGCATGTGCATGCTCCATCCACGAGACTTGTATTTAATTTTAAAAGGCTAATTGTATTAAATTTGGACTAATTAGAAGACCATATATATACTAGTCAACCACGTGGCTTTTCCCCTAATATTTTAATCTCTCGTGGAATTCCCCAATCTCACTTCAACACTTCAACTTCAATGATGTCATCATCTATACTCTTTGGAACCTTTTGAACTTTCTTTTACCCCTACATTTCGGTTTTCAACTCATAAAATTTCCAATCACAACGTAACATTGTGTGTTACAATATGTATAGTCCTGAACGTCTAAATTTACTACTTATGATTCGGTTAAATTTCATGTTTCTATAATTAAGTTAAATATATAACATGTTTGTTTAGTTATAAATGTTAAAATAAACTCGTATGTTAAGATTTAAGACCATGTAGATAAAAAGAAAGGAAAGAGATGAGTTTTGGGCAGATGAAAAATAAGTTTAGAATTGAAATTAAGGTCAAATCACACGAAACTAAAGAGATAATTTAACCTGAAGGTAGAATCAAAATAGTTGCATCAAGAATTAACATCTAAGCTAAAGTTGAAGAATCGATCAAGTTCTGTCCAACTGACCTTAGGTCCAACAGTTGATTACAACTTTGTCCCCTCTCTCCCCTACTACCTATAAAAAGGGACACTCTTTCATTTATTTAGATACCACTTACTATAGCTCGAACCTACTTCTAACTTAAGATTCTAACTTAAGAATCAAAGTGTTTGTTCCCTCTGTGAATGTCACTTCTCATATCATAAAACTCGCTCCAATCCGAGAGAATCTATAATCAACGTGTCTTATAAACCGGTTGAATTATATTATTGGCTGGTCGAACACCCAAGGATTTAATAATTGGGCATGCCAAATAATTGCAAATGGGTTAGATGGGGGCAGGTGGGGGAAAAATTGGGATATGCCATAAGGCTTACGTTTGATTTGACCTCACCATCCTCTTCCCCTCTCTCTCTCTCTCTCTCTCTCTAAAATCCACTAATTTCTCTCCCTCCTCTCCTTCTAGAGCTGTTCATATATAGATCACTTTTAACAACATTTTGTAGCCAAAGATTCCAGTTGAAATTGGCGACTCTGAAA